GCCGTATCACATTGAAACACCGGTTTTCTTACGATCAACGAAGTTAAGCAAGGTCGAGCTTGGTCACTATCTTGATGGGTGACAGCTTGGAAATACTAAGTACTGTAAGCTTATATATGCAGGTGGTGTAATAGATAACGGTTCGGAATTGTAAATCGGAGAGCCGAGTTCAAATTCCATTCGGGTTCGTTATATTCACTTACGTGCAAATACCCTTGAAAAAGATATGAATCCATCTCTTCTCCCCCTCCAGCTATGGGTTAATTAGTAGGACTTCTATTAGTAGATCATTATTATCTCTAAAAAATTCTTACAAGCTAAATTTTCTGCCTTTAAATAACCTAAAGAAAGGTTGATGGATCGTAAAAAATACAAATCAATCAAATCAATTCAAAGGTCGATCCCTCCTTTCTTCAATCATCTTCTCTCTCTCTCTCTCTCTCTCTCTCTCCAGATAAATTCTCTTAAAACATGTTAGCTTGAAATACATCTGGTTTAGGCTACTTATACCCCTATTTTTGGAATGATAGGAAATTCGCCGTATACAACCGGAAAAACTTGGTTTGACGCGTATGAAGATCAAAATGAATTACTTCTCATTAAGTGCTTCGTCGTGAAGCAAAGGTTAATAAAATATTATAACTGGCCCTTACGATATTAAAGTGTTCGATTCTGCTCGGGTGCTTCGTCTTGTCAGATCTTTCGTTCTAACAGTGAGAACGATACTTATAGGGTCACCCGTACTTGGTCTTTTATCCCAGTTTAAGCTTATGATGTCTTGCAGTTGAATAATAATTAGTAAGGTACGCTAATCTTTTTATACTATTGTTTACCCAATACAAAGTCCGAAAGTCACTCTCGGAAAAGTGTTACTGAATGAGGTTGTTGTAAGTGGGATAAGTAAAAAGTGCCTATCATGAGGATATGTCGGATAGATAAATGTTGACGGCAAATTTAAAGAAGGTAAGAGTGTAGTAATTGGGAAAACATCCTCTCGGGTGTTTGTTCCGCAAAGTAACCGTTCTTGGGAAGAAGTTGTTTGAGTGGAACTTCCTCTTTACTAATGGTATGAAGATGAGCTGATCCTGTGTACGTCGCTTGGACTCCAGTAAAAACGTTTGAAATATTGTTACTTTAAAAACAAAAGTCATTTCTTATTTAAAACACAGAACCATATTGTACCGAATATTATTTTTAGTTTTCTTGATATTTTCATGTGTTTGTCCATCCGTACTTGACCAACGAGTTTATTGATTAGCCATATTCTCTCTACTTAACAACATCATTTGACTTATGATGCATTTTGAAGTGTAAAACATATTTGTCTTTCTTGGTTCCTTTTACACATTCAGTTTGTTTTCCTTCTTATTATTGAATTCGGACTTCACTAATCATATTTACTACCACCATCTTTCATTTTATTTTTACCTCTATTCTATGTGTATTTAGACTATTGGCGATAATGCTATTTCCCTATTTACCGCCATTATTATGAAAACAGTTCAACTGCGAAATAAACCTTACTTCACTTCGCTTTTTCTGCTTCTTAATCAGGTAGGGACCCAAAATTACTTGTGATCTTTTATATTTTAAGAATTTCTTATTTCAAGTTTCAACTTTTTATTTTCAATAATCACATATGCATCGATTATAAATTTAACGTTGCTTGCAGGTAAAAATAGAAAACTTCCAAAAATTAAATAAACGAAAATATGTAGGAAAGAAAAACATCAGGCAATCAATATATTCAAGAACAATCTTTATTTATTATTAATTAATATTATATATTATCGCGCTGATTAAAGTGCCGTTTATCTTATAATAGTTCAATTATCACATAACACCAAACAAACGAAGAAAATATGAAACCCAAGAAATTCTTACCGATAACAAAAAAATACTGTAGGACATAAATGTTTCAAATCTCTGACTACATTGAATTTCTTCATCAGGAAGAGGAACTGTATCGATCTAAAAAGTTATATATGAGCGGTGAATATCGAAAAACCGAATTATTTTAAACCTCATCAGGTGTACGAAAAGGAGGAAATAAGAACTCCAATCTATTTGACAAAAATGCGTGTAGAAATGGACCTTGATCATTTAAACCTCGAACGAATCGACTAATAGAAAACTGCGTTCCTGTTATCTCTCCTGAGGCCACTGTATCAACGATAAGGGTGCCTCTACTACTGACATTGTTATTCATAAGTAGACTAAGAATATTCTTGAACAAAAAATCAGCTTTTTTTATCAAGTGATATCAGAAGTTTTCTTTCCAAAACAGAAACTATAATTTTTAACTTACCCATTATTCCACATCATTGCTTTTTCCTCACTTGATCTCGATTAAGAATGGTATGGTCATTTTCTGGTGGTGAGATCTCGAGTGATTCAAGAAGTGTGTAAAATGCAGGCGAGAAGAGATAAACGCTGGTTACTTGGTCAACCATAGATTCCTTATTCTGTTCAAATGCACTAAATTTTTGCTACACCGTATAGAGATTTCTGACGATGATGTCTTATCTATGTTGGACGTTCCCAGTTTGACGCATCTAATTTATTGCCAGCGAAACTACAATAGACACAAAACGTACAAAATAAAATCGTTGGATAGTGCAAGTTTTCTGCATCATGATATTATTTTTCCACATCTTCTGTAACATTAGCTTTGCATTTTCGAAATGCTCTCCATTTCACTTGTCTAGAGCAGCAAGAAAATGACTTCTATTTTACAAATATTCACTCCATACAAGCCCAAAACAGACACGCGGTAGAGGATTACGGTGTGGTGTTATACTAGCGTAAAATAAGGCGAGAAGTGCATTTCATAAGGTTATGTAGGAAACAGTTATCAGTTAAGATAACGATTAACTCTGGATTTGATGAGCTCAAGATTGTTGTGATCTGAAAATCATCCAGCTGTAGTCTGTTTCAAAAAGCAGCTGTCCGGGTGGAACTTCTTCCTTACTAATGGAATATGAAGGGAATGCAGATGATTCATCCATATGTACGTGGCATGCAAAGGTTAGGGGTAGGTGTTACTGCTACGGAAATTTAATGCTCACAACCTATCTGTGCTCAGATCTACTGTTAGGATTGTAATGGTTCGGTATGCGTTGCGAATATCATTGAATGCAATTTTTCCAGATGAAGGAATTCTGCTACGGCTATACTTTCATGCTGGTCGCCATTTCAAGAAATGTAGATTATTGGTGAGTGGATTCGACGTCAATGCCAGTAACATCTGCCTCCGACGTCATGCGCCGATATAATATGTGGTATTGTCTCCAGGGTCTATACTCATAGATCTTTGATAATTGTAAGAATTAGTGCAACGCAACATTCAATTCTTCACCACTTCATCTAGTATTTGGGAAGAATAATATAAGCTTAGCATATTTACCGGCTCTTTTTCTCTCTTTTATCTATAGTAGGTGCCGCCACAAAAACGCGATACTTAACATTTACAATTAAATTTTACTAATGAAAAATCTTTCTTGAAGCTTTTATTTCAGTTTTAATTTCAAGCTGATAGATTAAATTTAATATTTTAAATAAGCAAAATACTATATTGTATTTCAAAACTAATTTAAATTGATTGGAAGGAATTTTCATTTTAAAATTTCTAATTTTTTTTTTAGCGGCATTTTTAGCAAAATGTTATAAAAATGTAAATCTCTTTATTCAAAAATCTTCCAAAAATATCTATAAGTCTACCATTCGTCCATACTTAGAATAATGCTGCCACATATCGTCCGATGCCCCTACTATTTACCTGGAGCTCCTTAATAAAATCCAAAGAAGAATCAGCAATATTATCGTTACTGGGCTGGTGGCTCGGCTTCAGTTACATTCCAACCGCCGTAAGTTTGCCTCTCTGTGTCTTTTCTATAAATAATTTCATAATAATTGTTCAGATGAGCTTTTTGCCATGGTTCCTAGACTTTTTGGGATCTCATCAATTTACAGTTGAGCTCTTTAGAAGTATCCGTAAATTCTATGCTAACTGTTTATTTTCTCGGACTTCTCGCTTCCGGCTCCATACTTTCCAGCCAGCCTTAATCTGCAAAAATTTAAATGCAATGTCAATCGTTATCTACTGTCTACCTTATTACTGTTTATTTCTGTTTCTGCTCATTATTAATGATTCAGTTCTTAATTCTTCCATACCTTGTAACTCCTTGTGTCTTAGTGGCTTTACTGCCTTGCATTGGGTGATACCGATTAAAAAATAAGAAATAAAATATATTTTTTTGAAAGTTTATTTGGGAATGTTAGTTGATTTCAAGTGTAATTAGTCTGATTTTGAAACAACTATCATTTACTTTATTTTCAAAATATGACAGAAATGCAAAATATGACAGAAATGATTTTAACTTGTGTATTTATGTTGACAGCTTTTAAACACCCCCATAAGAGATCAATGACAGATTTTTATCTGATGTTTTTCTACCTTAAAAAATTAATTGAGGAATATAACGCGAGTGCCTTTTCACTACTCGGTAATCTTAAACATTTAAGAAAATATCCTCCATAATCTATTGTTTTATTAAATTTTAGAGAATTTTTGCTCTAAATTTATTGTAGTTATTGCTCTTATTTTCTGATCGTTTCGTGTATGGGTGACCTTATGTATAAAATTTGGCACGTTTATACATATACAAAACAATTCAAAATACTTTTTAAAATATTAAGGTTCATCAAATTATAATAAGCTTTACGATATTTGATTACTAAATAAAGTTTTACTTAATAACTATATTTCATAAGAGTTACGCGATTGGAACAGAATTTTTAAAAATTTTAAAATATTATGAATTAATTAAAATTGTGAAATAATGAAACAAATCTTGTAATTTTTTTTTATTGGATTTTAGTCATTTTGCCTTTAACTTTACTATAGTTATCGCTCTTATTCTCTGTAATAATGTACTGATTATCACAAAAATCGTTTCGTTTCAGTACACATAAAATATTCAAAATTCTTTTTAATATACTGGCGGTCGCTTTATTGTAGTAGCGTTTCCATTTATGATTAGTAAATATAGATTTTACGTAATAACAATATCACCTAAGAAAACTGGTACAAATTAATACAGAATTTTT